TGAAAAGAAACCTTCATGGAATCATTATTAATTGAATTCATGATGCCATTTCATTATTGATTGCATTGGGTTTTTTTGTTTTCTACAAATACAATTCCAATTTTAGGTGGTATTAATTTTGTTATTTTGAATAACAGTTATAACAAGCTTTGAAAATACATTTTATCATGAATGTATACAATAATCTTTTGTTCTACAAGAATCTGCTCTTTGTTTTAATGTAACTTATTTTCAACAGGCTGGGCAGGAAAAGGAAAAGAAATTTCTATTGGAATGGACTAGTGATATTGTAAATCACTTTTGGTATTCTGCAGATGTATCATAGTCTATTCAAGAATTCATGGTATGTTATGATATGGTAGTACATGTTCTTGTCTATGGTTATTGTTTGATCTGTTTATATTTTAGGATTAAATACCACCTCGTCCAGTAAAATTCAGAAAAAGAAATCATTTTAAAAAGAAGCGACTAAAAATCAGTAATGAATGCTTTAAAGACATAAGAGACATGTATCAAAATAAAGAAAACTATGTATGAATATTTTACTCCCGGCTTGAACAAATATCATTGTCCCATAGGGGAAAATTAAATTGCATCGTGTGAGAAAATCAAAATAAGAATAATTATGTCCTATGGGAAAGATCCTGTCCGCTCCATATCTTGAGAACTGTTATGATTTCAAAGACTGTACTTGACATGTATATTAACCAACATGAACAACTTTGTAGGTCAAGGTCAAAAACAGGTTTCAAACATGAACAACTTTGTAGATCAAAGGTCAAGGTCAAAAACAGGTTTCAAACATGAACAAGTTTGTAGGTCAAAGGTCAAGGTAAAAAACTTAGGTTTCAGTTGGGAATCCCATTTTCTATGGTAAAGATTTGTCTGTTATTTACAGCGGGGCCCACAGGGATGGCTCCCATGTCCATAATATCTAGTTTGGTACAATCATGATAATGTTGCAATTTATATGTAAGTTGAGGAATTTTAGCTAGCTTGGGATTTGCATGACGTCACATGTCATTTTTCTTGTCTCTATATTCGCATTTCCCTATTTCTTTGTAATTTGCAGTATAAGGTTGTATTTCTAATATGAATTTATTCCTAAATTGCTATTTTGAATTTACAGGGCGTGTGGTGTGGAATGATACACCATGTTGTTAATGAGCATGAATGGTCTATGTCGTACACAGACGATGGAACATATTCCTGTAAATATGGTCCGTTATGTGAAGAGAGGGAAAAGGGTTGGTTGAAAGCTGGTTCACCAGCTTATGATGCTGCCATTGGAATTGTGATGGACAAAAGATTCATTAAGAAAATTCCTTACTACTTAAACTGCAGGTATGATATAAGTTATCTACGTTCATATCCTAAGATATGGGAATTTTAAACACATGAAGTACCAAAGTACATCCTGAGGCAGGGCCGAAGGGTTTACAAGGTACTGAAGGGTGTTAAAATACCCATATCTACCAATATGTACGTAGATAGACAGCGACAATAGATAACAATGGGAAATGGGTAGCGACATCCAGGAATATGTCTTAGCAACAAGCTGGGAATACGGGTTTTTTAACGACGTGTCATCAGCCAATCAATATCCAAAAAATATATACTAAGCAGGTGATACGATATTCTATAAAAAATTTGAATATTGAAAAAAAAATAACAAGACAAAAAAAGACCAAATAGGTATCTTAAAATAATAGTAAATTTTCAGTCAAACAATATGTAAAGGAAAATATCAAGTGCATTTATATCCCAACTAAAAGGGGGTGAGCTGTAACCTCTGTCTGTCTGTCCCCATGATTGTTTTGACTCATTTTCAACAAACTACACATTATGGCTTTTTGAAATATGGTATCAAGGTTTATATGAGCATGCTATACTGTGTTATAATATGTTTTCAATTTCATTACTTATTAACTTCCTGTTTACCTTATAATTTCAATGGGGGTATCATTAGTGAGCAGTAGCTTACAGATTCACTTGTTATTTACTTTTTTTTCAGGAGCACAGCTGAATTGGAAAATTTCCAAAACTTGATCCTTAAATATGCTTCCAAGCGCCATTCTTTTAATCCAGTTTCATACAGAGCTCGCAATCTGTTAGCAGCCCTGGATAATAATGCTCATTGCCAAAGGCAAATGATGGTCAACAAAGATGGCAGCACTAGGTAAACTATTATTTTTATGCCCCACCTACGATAGTAGCAGGGGCATTATGTTTTCTGGTCTGTGCGTCCGTTCGTTTGTCCGTCTGTCCCGCCTCAGGTTAAAGTTTTTGGTCGAGGTAGTTTTTGATGAAGTTGAAGTCGAATCAACGTGAAACTTAGTACACATGTTCCCCATGATAAGAACTTTCTAATTTAAATGCCAAATTAGATTTTTGACCCCAATTTCACAGTCCACAGAACATAGAAAATGATAGTGCGAGTGGGGCATCCGTGTACTATAGACACATTTTTGTTTTTATTTGGAAAAATTGTTTATGGAATACTGTAAATTCAGAAATTATTGCGATGTTTTTATCATTGCGAAAAATGGGACAGGGTTATAATCGCAATAATTTAAACTCGTATTTTGAAATTTTCTATATGAATTTAACAAAATTTTTCTCAATATCGCAAAAATTAAAATCGCATTTTAGTTTAAAATGACAAAATCGCAATAATAAATGCACGCAATAATTTCTGAATTTACAGTAATACAATACTGTCAGCCTCCATAATATGCAGACTGCAATTCAACCTTTTTTGGGAAGTCCTTAAATATTTGATCTGTTGGGTCTGTCTATCACTTGGTACACTATTGAATACTTATATTAAAAAATATTTTTAGGTATCAGAGATACTACAGCAAGACTGGTATTCAGTGGTCAGTGTATGCTAAAAGGGAGGACAAAGACTATCACCATGTTCCTACCATAATAAAAACCATAGTAGAAAACCGATTACAAGATCCTGTTGGGATGAACAGAAAAGTGCTGCTAGATGTCAATGACCCAAGAAGAGTGTCAGCAGTACTTGCACTAACCTTGCCACCATCAACAGCTGATCTTGTCGCACAAAAGATATCAAGATTTAACAAGGAAGACCCAGAAAAAACTCTTGATTACAGTTGGACTGATGGATTGTTGTCTGTTTAACTACTAGTTTATAATATTTCATGCATAATGAATTGTTGAGGCATCTTAGAAAGTGTTTTATGGTCAGACAAAAATAAAATCGCCCAACATGTTATTCCAGATCAGCTCTTATTGATTGTATACCTGTATTGTTTGAACTAGAAAAGACCTTGTATGCTAATGATACTAATTCATTGTAATTTAGTACTAAATAAGTCAAAAGGTCTCAAGTTGTTTACACAGGACTCTCTTGTCTTAAAAGATTAGTATTTCAAAAGGTAGAAGACCAGGATGCTTCATATTTTGTATATAGATGCCATATGTTATGAACTTTTTGTCTGTTATTTGACCCAGACCTCATTTTCATGGTTGAATGACTGCTTCAAAAAAAGGGAATATTTTTTTGTTATGTAAATTTCTGTCTTATTTATATTATGTCACCTGCACATGCAGAAGCGACTGATAGGGATCACTATCTGTTGTCTTGCGTCCGTGTTGACAACAATCTTGATATTTGGCTCAAAGTTTTATCCCAGGGTGCTATACCATGTAAAGTGATATTATTGTCATTGATCATGAACTTTCTGTTAAAACTTGTCATTTCTTGGCGACATATATTTTCAATGGAAAACTCGCAAACATTTTTTATAAGTAACTATGTTTGGAATCTGCGTACCTTGCAAGATCCTCATGCCTGTCAGACAGTTTTCTTTTGACCAAAAAAAATGGGTGAACAATATTTGGTTTATGCAAGGTGTATATTTTTGTCTGGTTGGTATAATCTGACCTTGACCTTATTAAATTTCTGTGATTTATTCTGTTTTTCAGATTCTATAGGGATAGTAGAACTATATTTGGTGTATTGAATACTTGTAAATTGTGTATGTCTGTCTGGCAGATGTCCGTTGACCTAGACTTAATTTTCATGGTTCATTGGTCAGTGGCAATTTTTTTTAACTTGTTTGCTCTGTTTTTCAAATATCATATGGAATAGGTGAAATATATTTGGTTTATGCAAGGTGTACATTTTTGGTCTGGTCAGTAATATCTAACCTTTACATTATTTGCATAGTTCATTGGTCAATGATAAATTTCTCTGATTTGGTCTGTTGTTCCGATTCTATAGGGATAGTAAAACTATATTTAATTTATTGAATAATTGAAAAGTGTGTGTGTCTGTCCGGCAGGTGTCAGTTGACCTTGACCTTATTTTCATGGTTCTTTGGTAAAAGTTCAATTATATTGATGTGTGGGTTAGAGCAATGAAATCTTGTATATAGATGCACCTATGGTAGCACTACAAGACCCAAGCAAAATAATAATTGCGAGTGCCATTTCACAGTTCAGCAACTTGCTATGGTAGTCAATCAGCATCAAGACAATTAAGATCATTGTTACCTATATTCCATGGTTCACTGACTTAAAATTTCATAAGAAGATATGGTATGAATGCCCATGAGACAACTCTCCATCCAAAACACAATGTAGTTGAAGTAAGCAATTTAATGTTACAGCACAGTCTTCAACACAGATCTTTGGCTCACACCTAACAGCAAGCTATAAAAGTCACAAAGAAAAAGATCAGTGTAAAACAATTCAAACAGGAAAACCTAATTTATATACAAATTGAGAAACGAAAACAATAACAAACAACAACCAATGAACAATGGTGGTTCATCAGTATCCAGACTAAAATTAAATCACTGTGATCGACCTATATTTCATAGTACTGACTGACTATGTTGTTTTCTCTGAGAACTTTTCCCATATGTAATTATTTGGTCTATGCTTTGTGCTATTGTTGATTCAGATCATTATTCTTCAGTTTGGTGTTCAGAAAATAAAACCTTTTTTTTATATTACTATTTTATTTAGCCAAGTCTGCAACCAACAAATCCAACATACTGGCCAGTACCATCGGGATACTTATCCCTAATTCTCCAAACACAACAGCTCGGTATAACCCTCCTGTTGCCGGCCCCCCAAATATCCATGTATCTATAGGATATACTGCCTGTAGGCAGCATGGCGATGACACATGTTGTAATTGTCATCTTCAGGCTGTGCCAGAAAATCATTCCAGTACCGGATTGCCAGCTCCAAAACAAGTTCATCCAGAACGCATTGCTGGAAATCCTATAAAATAAAGAATATTATTTATAATTAAATGTAGTTTTTTAAAAATACATATATTGTATCATAAATATTATACCAATTCAGTGTCGAATGAGAAACGCCAAACCAACTACAATGAAGGCTATACAGCAAAAGAAAAGAAAACAGGAAAAAAAAATGTAAATCATATAATGCAGACAGATTCTGCAACAAGAACAGTATGGCGACAGAGATGACACAAACAAAAAGAAAATAGCATGAGCAACACAGACCCTAACAAGACATAGGTAACATCAAGGTGCAACAGAAAAGGAAGCAAGCTATATCTTTCTCTAATAATTCTATTTAAATCTTTTTAAAAAGGACATTTGTCTAAAGCAAATTGTAGGTATGTTATTGTAATCTTACCGGTAACCTTGAATGGCAATTCAATGGCTGTCTTTTGCAACACAGCCTCTCCTGCTGTGTTGGCATCTCTCTACAATTAGAGCAGGAGCACCATGATGGCTGGTCTGGTTTTGGTGGTTCTGGTTCAGCTGGTCCAGCTGGCTGCCCATTGCCAACATTTGAATTGTCTAGGATGTTCAGAAGGAAACTGGGCTGTGCCTTTGATATGCGTTTGATTAGATCCCGCATGTCATCAATAAACATCGAATTGACTCTATTCTGAAATAAAGAAAAAAACGATTAAAATTGAAAGTAGTACAGTCCAATGTAGCAAAAACATGCCAAAGCACAAATTATTGCTTGAACATGATGATGCAAGTAAGAAACCAAATTGTTAATGCAATAAAAACAATTGGTAAATGTGTTTTGTTCCATTATTTGGTGTTAATAAGAAGAAGAGTATTGTTAAAAAATTTCCATAATACACTTGGAAAATCACGACAAATATAATAATTATAGATCGTATGTTTCTGATCGCTTTGAAAATAACTTTGATATGACTTCTTTTTCTTAAAATATAAATAAGAAGATGTGGTATGAGTGCCAATGCACATCTCAAATTCAATTATCATAAGTAGGAGCTGAGAAACATACAGGACATTGGTAAGGAGGGCACAATAATTCAAAGACAATAATTTTGGTATTATTTTCTGTTGCTAATCAATACCTCAAGCTGAGCTATTCTGCTTTCTCTGTTGACTTATTGAAGCTGGGTTCTGTTTCCTTGTCCACTTCCTCTGTCTCTTCTGCTGCCTCTCGCCTGACCTCTGCCTCTTCTGCTGCCTCTCGCCTGACCTCTGCCTCGTCCGCGTCCACTGCCTCTTCCACGACCTCTCTTCTGTTTTCGCTCCATAGGCTGACAGGGTTGTTTCTATTGTCAGAGCTAAGTTCAGATGTTGGAGACCTGCTCCTTTCACTCGATGCATCTGAAAACTGTAAATAAGATATTTATTCCATATGTACCTTATATATAAGGACAAACAATATCTGGTCAAGACAAAAATTCAAGCCCCCCCCCCCCCCCCTTATTGGTTTTTCCGTAAACAATATTTTGATTCAGAATTTTGAGAAAATAAATAATTTGACCAGCAAGGGGAGAAAAAAAATATTCTGACAGAGGATATTTACCATAAAAAATATTAAATTAGAAAAAATTAATTTGTCGCGCCACTTTCCGAAAATAAATAATTTTGCGCGCAAAAAAAAAATTCTGACCAGAAAAAAAAACATGTCCCACCCCCCCACCCCCCCCCCCCCCCCACCCCTGGTCCGTCCCAAACTACTATTAAAGGGGAAAATTTGTTTTATAACACTAAACCGTTTCTTTTGCTTTGCGATTTTTGCCTATATTTCCAAAGCTAAAGAGCATAAAACTTTTAGAAAAATATGCTGAGCTGCCTTACACTACAAACTGCTAAGAGTCTATTATAGATATAGAGATAGCTGTAGATTGTGATGAAAATCCAAGTTGCTTTGAACCAGTTATAAAAAAATTTAAAGATGACTATCTGAATTTAGTCCAAACTGAAAATTCTAGTTTTTTTTTACCTTTATTAATTAAATCTTTAAACATGACAGCAATATGCCAAACAACATAACAACCTGCAATTCAGTAAGATCAATATACAACTGAGAAAGCTGTATAATTTTTATGAAAATCCTAGTTAATTTGAAAAAAATAAAAAACAAATTTAAAGTTGACTAGCTGAATTCAGTCCCACTGAAAATTCTAGCTTTTTTTAACTATTAATTAAATCCTTAAATTTGACAGCAATGCACCAAACTACATAACGACCTAGGATTCAGTAAGATCAATGTATAATTGAGATAGCTGTATAGTTTTATGAAAATCCAAGTTGATTTGAAAAAGTTACAGAAATAATTAAAGATGACTATCTGAATTTAATCAAAACTGAAAATTCTTGCTTTTTTTTACCTATTAATTTACTTCTTTAATTTCCCAGCAACGAACCAACTACCAAATAACCTGGAATTTTGTAAGATCAATATTTAATTTAATTAGATGGGCTGATTCAGACCAGTCGAGACAGGTTGAGACTGGTCAAGAATGGTCGAGCCTTGGTCGAGACCATTTCAGACTACACCAAGATCATCAAGTACTGAATCAGACTTATTAAGTAAAGTCGAGACCAAAGTCGAGTACAATTAAGTACAGTTAAGTACTGTTGAGACAATGTCGAGTCTAGTTGAGTAAAATCTGTACTGGTCGAGCACAAAAACTGGTCTTTTCAGACTCTGAGCAGTTTGTAGTGTTACCTAAAAAATATGTATAAGAAAAAAAAAAAACAACAAAAAACAACAAAAATTACATTAAAACATGTTACAGAAAAAGTTTCTATTACTTTGCGATTTTTTTCTAAATCATTTCTAAATAAGCTAAAGAGCATAAAACTTGTAGAAAAATATGCTGAGCTGTCTAGCCCAACTCACATCTTCTTCAGAAAAAGATATGAAATAAAACTATTTACAACTAGAATTGCCATAATGCATTGCATACATATGTTGCTTCACATTTTCCCTTTATATTTGTGACTATATTATGACCATTCTCATACAAAATATAGATTGTGACTTTTTCCTATAATTATATATTTGACAATCTGTGAACATTTTCTTTTCTAAAACATAGATATTGTGACTTTTTCCGATATAAGAGAGCTACCATTTGATTTTAAGATGAAATTTGAAAAAAGCAGGACAGGAATTTTGATTTAAAAAATGCAGGATGAGCAACTGGGCCCCAAAAAAGAATATCTACCACACAAAAACTTCGAATTTTTGGTAAACAGATCCTTTTTCTCAAATTCTGTAGGATATTTTCTAGGCAGTACTGTACTGTTCAACTAAGAAACATAGGATTGACCTAAAATTTTTTTTTTTACTTAGAAGAAACTATTGTGACTCATGGTCCCACTTTTTAGAATATAACATTTAAATGATCAGTATTATTTATTATTTTTATTTCACAAAGATTATTTAAGTTATATAAAGTTTGTTTTATTGCATTAAACATTGTTAGAAGTATTTAAACAAATTTCTACTAGGAGTGATCCCATATCCCATTATAAAAAATACATAGTAAATTTCATCAGCCAGAGCTAATATTTATATCAATTCAGCTAGGTTTCTGGGTGAAATTTCTAAATTTTTACCAATTTTTTGTCTTCTAATTTTTACCACTAATCCTTCTCTGAAAAGTAGGGAAGTATCTCTTCTTAATAGTATAATAACATACTTGTAAATTTCATTTATTTTCTTCTTGATTTTTGTAACGTAAACTCCTTTTTATTTTTTTAGACCTCAATTAAACTGATTGAAAGATTATGTCTTCATCATGCACAATCCCTCCCGTTAGGGGTTTAGTATCATACCATCATAAATTATGTGAGAAGAACATAACCCGTATCATGCCAACAACTGGTTTTAGAATAAATGTGTTTATTTCTGATGCAAAGATCCTATGAGTGAATCAATATTAATTCCAAAATACGCCATACTTAATGAACTGACAACAGTATCGTAACTATATCCCTTCTGAATAAGTCTGTTTAAAGGTTTGGTTAGCGTTTGAGATGAATGACGACATTTTTGTGCTTTGTATAGAATATTACCATAAAAGATTGGATGTGAAATACCTGAACGTATAAGATGTTTGCATGTTGATTTATATTTACGAATGATGTCCTTGTACCGATGATAACATTTAGTAAATGTTTTGACTAGTTTGTGGTATCGAAAACCCTGGTGTAATATTTTTTCAGTAATACAGAGAGTTCTTTCGTTATAATCAAATATGTTGTTACATACACGAGCGAATCGAACAAGTTGAGATATATAAACACCATAAGATGGTGACAAGAGAACGTCTAAAAATGGATAATTAACATTAGGAAATGAAAAAGCATCTCTTTTGTCTTTAAGGTGAGAGGTACGTAAATCAGCTCTTCTAACGGATAACGGGAAAAATTACGTTTGCTGTTATGAGAGTTATCTCCCTTAGAACCAGACAAACATATATTTTCAAGATGTCGGGAGATTCCGCCTCGTCGGAAAAATAGACAACTACGGTGGAAATGTACTCAATGCACTTCAAACAAATCTTCTCTCCCCATAAAATGAAAATAATTTAGCGCGTGATAGTCTGAGAGTGGTTAAGTTGAGTTTATTGGCTGACCAACTAAAAGCTTGTAAGAACTGCTATGCACCATTGTTTCTCCACAGCTCTATAACAGAAAAAGAGATAGGTCTCGGACGTATCTTATATATACCTTATTGCAACTGTCCCTACACTAACTTATAAACACTGGAAAACGGTAAAGATCAGGGACTTAAAAAAATAATTCCATGTTGATATGGGCCATGAACACAAAATGAAGTAAAATTATAAACACACGCATATCAAACACATACACACGCAATATAATAAATTAAAGCTTATACTATATATAAGGTTCGGTACTTTTTTATTTTCATTTCATATATTGAAATTCCGCAAAGTAAAATACAGTTGCATAAAAAGAAATAAATTCGTATTGTACTGGCCGGACCAGCGAGTTTAACCAAGATGACTGGGTTTATGTAAAGATAAAACAATCAGGAGCTGACTTTTATTTCACTACCTATCCAAATGGTGAAAAACTGAAAATACAAATAAAAATACAATTTTACAATGTGTTCAATGATAATTAAAATCCATTAAAAATACGGATAAACAGTTCGTAGATTTATAAAGCTGTTAATGTTCTTTATAATAATAAATAGATGAATATTCTTGCACACGTCGGGTTCTGTCTGAATTAAATTGTGTAATCGCAGATACGAACAGTTTGAACGGTTAAATGTTCATAGTTTCTTTATAACATAGGAAAACATATTAAAACAGTTCATCGCTGATGTAAAGACATAATTTGTAATGTTTTAAAGGTAACTCACGCTGTGGTTAGCCACGAATTGTTCCTTTGGACAACGTGTCCGCTGAATGTTCCTTGCAGTTGTGCACACGGCCTGCTGAGCAGTTTTCGTCACTCAGAAGAGAGGGGAAAGTAACATGGGTTCCTACACTGTCCTGTATAAAACTCCTAAAACTGGAGCATATAAAGTGATGTACGCAATGAAACATAAACAATGTAAAATGATGATCACATGAAGAACAAATGATGAATGAGGTCCAGAACACTCCCCGTCTGAGGTCTATCTGACATCACTATTCCATTATTAAAACAAATAAAATGCTAAATATATAACAGCCGTCCAAGGTTCCACTTATATGAACTTGAAAGTAATCCAACGGGAGGCTGGGTATTTCACAGCTTCTTTCCTAGATAAGGTGGTGTTTCCGACGAGATCGCGGCGATCTAAGATCCAATTCCATGGCTGTAGTTCTGATGGATGAATCTCCTTTCGACACAGATATGCGATCCAACGGGGACGTCTTGCAAAACGGACGCTTCCCTTTACGTTTACGGCATACAGTAGACCAGCCGGTGCCATGTTCCTTTTCTCTGTGACTTAAGTCCGAATTGTCTATTCTACTTTCCTCTTGTCCTTGCGTATCCAAAGGCAAATTGAAGCTTTCCTTGGGAATTGAATGTTTTCGGATGTACTTTTCTTTGTCGGCATTCACTTTTAGTGATGTTGCTTCCGAAATGAACTTTTCGTCTTCTGCAAATTTGACGATCGAAGTCGCTGATTTCGTTTTTGGTTGCCCATGTAAACGGGGATATTGTTTAAACGAATCTGTTCGAATTCCATTTGACTGGGTGTTGGTTTTATTACACTCAGGTAATTTCTTTGTATGTGGTTTCACAACACTGCAAGCTGGATTTGTTTCCTTTGTAGTGAGTTCAAGGTGAACATGTTGCTTATCGGAGCATATTTCACCAACGATAATCCAACCCAGGTTTAACTTTTGCGCAAATGGAGTCTTTGGTGGTCCTAGACGTTGATCAAGGACGTGATGTGCCTCTATTAGGTCTCTTCCAATAAGCAATAGGATTTTGCATTTTCCATCAATCGGAAGAATATTTTTTTGTAGTTCATGCAAGTGTTGATATTGCAATATATCCTTAGTTGTAGCAATTTCGTTCCGATTATTGGGAATGTTATCGCATTCAATCAGTTCAGGCAGATTGAATCTAGTATTGTCTTGTACAGACTTTACGACAAAGCCGTTTCCTCGTTTTCCGGAAGTAACCTTGCTGCCGGAGCATGTGGATAACATATAGTCTTTTGTTTCTTCCTGTACGTTGAATAGACTGAAGAATTCAGGAGCGGCGAGAGACCGGTTGCTTTGGTCGTCAATAATTGCATACATGCGAATTACTTTGTCCTGATTATTTTTGTGAAAGACATTCACAGGGAGTATCTTGGCACAAGATTTACTACTGTTGCCATCTTTACAGATATCTGTGCAAGTTGAACTAACAGAGGTTAGCTTGGTTTCAGCTAACTCAAGTTGCTCCCCGCCGTAGGATGTATCAATTAGCTCCCCGCCGTCGACTGATCTAGGCGGTGAAGGCGGTGCACCTTTGGGTTGGTACACTCGATTTGTGTGTAATGCGGTGGTGTGTTGTTTACTTCCGCATTCATTGCAACTGATACTTGCCTTGCAATCACGACTTCTGTGCATAGTCGAATCACAGCATTTTTAACAAAGATTGTTTTGCCTCAACAGTTCCTTGCGTTCCTCTATTGATTTGGCACGGAACGCTCGGCATTCGTTTAAGGTATGCTTTGTATTATGCAAAATGCAAAGACTTTGTTGTTCACTGCTGTCTCCAGGTTGCTGTGCAATTGCTGTCTTATGAACATTGACTTTAGAATATGTTTGAGGTGTGAACTTTGGTGCAGCACCTTTTGTACTTGGTGTGACTCTTGACCCGAAAATGAACCCAGGATCGTTCTTTATTTTGCTAATTTCCCTGATGAAGGCAGAGAATTCTGTGAAAGGTGGAAATGCAACTTCATATTTAGACTTGTATCTTGAAGCCCTTGTTATCCACTTTTCTTGGAGTCCGTATGGCAGTTTTTCCACTATAGGATTTATCCCGGATGAAGAGTCGAAATACGCAAGCAAACATCCCAGCTTGGGATTTTCCTTGTGATATTCTATTTCTGAGATAATATCTGACAAATCGTAAAGGAGTGAGTTGTCCTTATTCGTCAGTGTTGGGAAGTTGACGAGTTTGTTAACGAGAGACGCCTCCAACATTTCTGGAGCACCATATCGGTCGTCAAGTCTCTCCCATAGTCTCTGTATGCCTTTTGTAGGATTATTGGCATTCGACGCTCGTATGCTAATGGCATGTTTAGCAGACTCTGGACCGAGCCACTTGATCAGAAGATCAATCTGTTCCGAGTCAGAAACTTGTAGCTCGTCTGTCACGTTTTTAAAGCTTGCTTTCCATGTATGGAAGGATTCTGCCCGGTCATTAAAGCTTGTTAACCGGGAGAATAGTAGGTCCTTTCGTAGAAGAAATCTAGTTATCTCTGATGTAGGATTAATTGGTTGCAGGTGTGTAGCGGGGATCTCTTCTTTAACACCCTGTTTCTGGTGTTCAACAGGGATCTCCTCTGAAAGGCCTAGTTTTTGTATGCCGGTTACTATTCCCAGATCTGGGATTAGGGTAACTTCCGGTGACTTAGTATCGGAAGGCAAGACAGCAGATGTCTGTGACGGCAAGTTCAGTGCCACGGATGGCACGAACGCTGGTGCTTCATGACTCAGCTCAATCTTAACAGGAATTTGTTTTATCTTTTGAGGTCCTGATACTTCCCGTACAGCAGTTGGTACAGGATGCTTATTGACGAAATCTTTCACACGCTGGAGAGGGTCTTCCGTTTCATCAGGGAGATCGCTAAATGCTTGGCTGTCGTCGTATTCCAGGATACGAGCCTCTACTTCTGCGGCTGCAGCTTCTCTCTGTGCTTCAAGAAGGTTAAATTTGGCTTTCAGCTCGGTCTTTTCCCGGCTTACTCGTGCGGTTTCTTGTTGCATTTGAGCCTTCCTGCGCATGGCCTCTTGTTCTAAGTGAACTGTTCTCTGTGCGGCCTCCTGTTCTAGTTGAACTTTACGTTGAGCGACTTCTTGCTCCATTTCTGCCTTTTTACGTGTGGCTTCCTGTTCCATTTCAGCCTTTTTGCGTGCTGCTTCCTGTTCCATTTCAATTTGTCTGAACAGGGCTTGTTCCTCTAACATTGCCTCCTGTTGTAGGATAAGGGCATGTTTTTCGACAAAGGCTATTTTTGACTTGGCAGCCTCTGCCTTCGCACGCTTTCTCCGTGCTAGGCTTGACATGTCTGACACGTTAGAGCTACCGCTGTGTGAGGTTTTCTTACCCTTTGAGGTCTTTGTTTTGGTGGATTTGGCCTTTGTTAGGGCGAGGCGATGCTCGTGTAGTTTTTCCATAACCAGTTCCACTTTGGACAGACGAAAATCCAATGAGAGATTACATGCTTCTATTTCTTTTTGACTCTCCGATGTTCTGGTCCTTTTCAGAAAGTCCAGGAATTCATCTGTGAGCCTACGATAATTATTACAGGCTTTAACGAGTTTGTCCTGGGCTGTTAGGAGTTGCTGGAGCTCGTTAGGAGGCGTGGTGACTTCCAATAACTGGGATTCAATGTCTGTCCAGAGAGCCTCTTGTTCCTGACAGAACTTGTCACGTTTTTCTGTGAAAGCTCCTTTTCCTTTTTCCGTGAGGTCACGTACTCGCCTAGTCTCGGGATTTTCATCTGAATGTGTTGTATTAGACGGATTTTCTAATAGTTCAGGGACATCTCCCTCTTGGGGCTGAACCTCTTCTTGCTGTTCCACGTGACTGGGATCCATGTTGACTCAACGTTGTTGGGTTGCTGCCTAGTACACACAAGTTATGTAGTCCACTGTCAGTGTAAAGGTATTTAAGTTGCTACGTAGTCGTTCCTTGTCTGGATATGTAAAGACAGGTAGTCGTCAATTTACTAGCACGAAATGTTGTCGTTGAAACTACGTTATAACTTATGGGTCTGCTGACTGTCGTGGAGTGGCGTACGTTATCCAAGAAAAACAACAGGCAAGTTGTAGCTTTTTCACTGTACTGGCTGGACCAGCGAGTTTAACCAAGATGACTGGGTTTATGTAAAGATAAAACAATCAGGAGCTGACTTTTATTTCACTACCAATCCAAATGGTGAAAAACTGAAAATACAAATAAAAATACAATTTTACAATGTGTTCAATGATAATTAAAATCCATTAAAAATACGGATAAACAGTTCGTAGATTTATAAAGCTGTTAATGTTCTTTATAATAATAAATAGATGAATATTCTTGCACACGTCGGGTTCTGTCTGAATTAAATTGTGTAATCGCAGATACGAACAGTTTGAACGGTTAAATGTTCATAGTTTCTTTATAACATAGGAAAACATATTAAAACAGTTCATCGCTGATGTAAAGACATAATTTGTAATGTTTTAAAGGTAACTCACGCTGTGGTTAGCCACGAATTGTTCCTTTGGACAACGTGTCCGCTGAATGTTCCTTGCAGTTGTGCACACGGCCTGCTGAGCAGTTTTCGTCACTCAGAAGAGAGGGGAAAGTAACATGGGTTCCTACACTGTCCTGTATAAAACTCCTAAAACTGGAGCATATAAAGTGATGTACGCAATGAAACATAAACAATGTAAAATGATGATCACATGAAGAACAAATGATGAATGAGGTCCAGAACACGTATCGCAAAACAACTGACATACTATTTAATTTTCGCCATTAAAGAGAAAAACACTTTTACATCATGCTTATTTCTGATATTCTTAATGTGATATTCATGCTAGATAATCACTTTTCGACATTTGAAAGTTCATAATTTTCGAAACCGTTGGTGATAGTACTTTCTTTCACGTCCGCAATGCGATCTATAATTAGAAGTAGAAAGTACTAAGTGTAAAATTCAATTTATTTTGTAAATATTGAAAAACAAAAGTATTAAAAGTTTTTTGCGGGTGTGGCATGAACTTTGTTAACATAAAAGAGGAGAAGGGTCCCTATAAACCGACGAACTGGAAGTAAAATGGCAATTTCAAGATGAACGAAAAATATTGCTTTTTTTACCAATTTATTCTTCATCAATACCTGTGGTTGTCAGTATTTGCGACTTCCCAACAATTTAAAGCCCGTAACAAAATGTACGCCTTGTTTATTCCCATTTACGTCAAATACAATGCTATGCACAACACATGTAACGTCCTTAAAATTCATGATCAGGACACTTACCTTACAGCTACGCCTGTTTCACGCAAAAAAACAGGTTTGATATTCATATCGCATTTGCATGTTCTTGTCCTAAATATGCATTTAATTTGTCAATTGACGTTAAACAGCCATCCATCATCATTCTCATGATCATCTTAACCGTTCCTAAAATATCTTTCAACAACGATTTTGTTCTCTACGATGAGTATTTTTCAGACTTTTGATCGTGTTATTTTTACAAAATTGGTTCTTGCACGATAAAGCCTACATGTATATGCATATTGTCGTTGTGCAACGTTAAATTTACTTAAATAAATTAATCAATCAATCAAGGATAAACTAAATAGCTTGTTTTGTTTTTTCTATTATTTACACTAAAGGCGACTCTTATTATCCCAGTGCCGTTGCATGTGTTTTTTTTTTTATTTTGTCACCACGTCATCAAAATTACAAATGTTAGGAATCAGGACGATAGGTGAGTTTTTAATCCGAATATATCAGTATATTATCGTCCAAGCTTCTGTTTTAACAAGAAACATACAAAAAACTCAGAAAAGAGAATCTGAAGGAAAATGTACATTTGCCTTGATGACTACAGTTGTTGTAATGTAACAAGTTCAAAATAAGTAAATCGCTATCTACATCAGTTTTTTCGAATTTATTGAGGGATGAAATTAATATATTTGATTAAAATTCGTAACCCCTCAGTCAATTCCGAATTCCTAAATATATCGGTAAATCACTTTTCATTCCATATGCCGTTATTACCTTGATTATTCAAATAATAAATCAAAAAGAATTACCAAACACAACTTCGAAAAAGACCACACAAGCCACCTACAATCACGATCAAGGTAAGAAGTAAAAATAGTGTCTTCTCCCAACAATGTATAAAATTCAAAATAAAAGAAATGTTTATCAAATTTCAACTTTATAGTTATGACTTGTTACACTTAGGCCATATAATTTCCATTTAAAAAAGATTAAAAAAAGGTTTTATTTCTATAAAGCATCAAATATGTAAACAGATAAATAACTGATAAGAAAGACAATTAAATCAATATCACAGGAATGTAAGACAATAAAAACGTAGCTACAATAATTCTGAATAATACACTTAATTTTTCAGTAAATGAATTACAACTGTGAATTTAAGCCTGAAGAATCACTGCATAGACATAATATCGCATTACGCTCTAATACTGGCCAATGTAATTGGAAGGTTTTAAACAGCAACGACTCGAACAGTTTAACAAAAAAAAAACAAAAACAAAAAAACAAAAAATAATTACATAAAACGATCTTGCATTACCAAAAGTTAAATTATGTACACAAGATCAACATTATCTTATGTGTTTGCATTCTATTACCAATAATTCAAGGTTTTTATTCTATTTTTCATAAAAAAAATCATAAAATAGACACAAGTAGGTTTCTCGACATTTATATAAAAGATAACAGGTAAATATTTAAGAATTGAATGCTTCTTTTGAGGTGTAAAAGCGTTGACCGAAGCACACTTCATATTAAAAATGTACGCACGATAAACGCTTTTACAACCCTATGAAATTATAAAAAGAAGCATTCAATTCTTAAAATTTCATTTTAATGCAACAACCATGCATTCAAATTGAGAGTTGTGTCAATCTTTTTAATTGTTTTTCTATGCATTGTTTTAACATTTTCACGGATAGCACATACAGTCATTGCTGTTGAATTTGAAATTTATACAGAAGTTTCTCACGATTGTTGTCGGCCAATCAAAATTACGGATTCTAATTATACATACATGTAATGCAATCATTCACTTTACGGTTGACAACTTCATTAGGACTGCTTAAGGATGTACTCAGGTCAGGTTTAGAAATTTTTTTCAGATGTTCGGACTCGTTTGTTTTTTTCTTACGATACAGGGTAAATATAAGGTAAAGGTCCGAGTCAGCCTTTTCCTGCCATTAGAAAAGTAGCAGTTGTAATGCTTTAGTTTTATGTCATGTTAGCATATGTGTATTTAAAGTATTATATCTTGTGACTGATAAAAGTAGCAAACCTACGAATATCCAATCAAATAAACTAAAAAAAAACTGTACCTTAAAGGCTTAAATATCATTAAAACGTTTTTAAATGTCAAATTGTTTATGTGAAACAGAATAGTATTTAAATATTTGATATTAGGTGTTACATGAAATCTAAATACAAATCAGCTTTTTGTGGAAGCTCCAGTACTAAATACTCTTGTAATTTTATGCAATGCTCACAGAATGTACAAATAACCTTTTTCTGAGATAAGTCCTTCGTATGAGTGTGTGTTGCGGCTGTATAAGAACTCAGTCTTATGAGTTTAGGGAGGTTACTTCTACTAAGTTTGTTTATTGGTTTATTCGATTGGGCTTCTTAGTCCTTTTCACCTTAATTTGAATGTTAAGAAATTTTCAATCTTGGTAAGAGATATTATGAAATATATACTTGATTTTTTATGTTGTCTCCCTTACACAAGGGGTTCTAGGGAGCAGAGTGGTCTAAGCTTTTAATCTACAATTAACCCTAGCCTGTTTTAACATTGCTTGTGAGTTCGAACTGTACTTCAGTACTGTGCGTTTAGCTCCTTCCTATCTTACCTTTTCGGAGAATCTGAGATCACCCTCGGTTTTTGGTGGGTTTCGTGTTGATCAGTCTTTAGTTTTCTATATTGTGTTTTGTATTCTGTTGCTTGTCTTCTGTTTGTTTTTCGTTATTTGCCATGGCATTGTCAATAGATATAAGAAGATGTGGTATGAGTGCCAATGAGACAACTCTCCATCCAAGTCACAAATTGTAAAAGAAAACCATTATAGGTCAAAGTACGGCCGTCAACACGGAGCATTGGCTCATACCAAACAGCAAGCTATAAAGGGCCCCATAAATGACTAGTGTAAAACCATTCAAACAGGAAAACCAACGGTCTTATCTATATTAAAAACGGGAAACGAGAAACGAGAAACACTTATGAACCGCATCAACAAATTACAACCACTGAACATCAGGTTTCTGACTTAGGACAGGTGCAAACAAATGCAGCGGGTTTAAATGTTTTAATAGGCGCTAACCTTCACCCTACCTGAAACAATAGTGTAACATCACAACATAGAAAGACACACTTTTCAGCTTGCTTTCGACTTCTGATTTTGAATGCCCCTTTGGTATCTTTAAATGACTAGGAGTACAAGTTTTCCTACTGATGGTAACTGGTTCTTTCTGAGTAATCTGGATCCCTCCAACAATAAAACAAACTGACTGTCACTGGTTCACTCTGAGTAATCTGGATCCCTCCAACAATAAAACAAACTGACTGTCACTGGTTCACTCTGAGTAATCTGGATCCCTCCAACAATAAAACAAACTGATGGTAACTGGTTCACTCTGAGTAATCTGGATCCCTCCAACAATAAAACAAACTGACTGTCACTGGTTCACTCTGAGTAATCTGGATCCCTCCAACAATAAAACAAACTGACTGTCACTGGTTCTCTCTGAGCAATCTGGATCCCTCCAACAATAAAACAAACTGATGGTAACTGGTTCTCTCTGAGTAATCTGGATCCCTCCAACAATAAAACAAACTGACTGTCAATGGTTCACTCTGAGTAATCTGGATCCCTCCAACAATAAAACAAACTGATGGTAACTGGTTCACTCTGAGTAATCTGGATCCCTCCAACAATAAAACAAACTGACTGTCACTGGTTCACTCTGAGTAATCTGGATCCCTCCAACAATAAAACAAACTGACTGTCACTGGTTCTCTCTGAGTAATCTGGATCCCTCCAACAATAAAACAAACTGACTGTCACTGGTTCTCTCTCAGTAATATGGATCCCTCCAACAATAAAACAAACTGCCTGTCACTGGTTCTCTCTCAGTAATATGGATCCCTCCAACAATAAAACAAACTGACTGTCACTGGTTCTCTCTGAGTAATCTGGATCCCTCCAACAATAAAACAAACTGACTGTCACTGGTTCTCTCTGAGTAATCTGGATCCCTCTAACAATAAAACAAACTGACTGTCACTGGTTCTCTCTGAGTAATCTGGATCCCTCCAACAATAACAACAAACTGACTGTCACTGGTTCTCTCTGAGTAATCTGGATCCCTCCAAAAATAAAACAAACTGACTGCCTTGATATCGCCAAGTATGATGAAAGTAGTGTTAAACACCAACAATCAATCAATCCCGTTTCCATGACATAAGTTGACGAAGACATTAAATTGTCATGTTTTCCTTCAAAGAAGGTGAAACACGTAGATCTCTGTGTAAACAGTTTTATTTTTGTGTGATTTTGATTAGCCTTATTCTGGCATTGTCCTTTGAATCACTTGGGCGGATGCACGCGTGTGTGTTGGGATCCCTGCCTCTTTTATTGCCACAAATTCGAATTTTTCAATACTTTTCGCTTGATATGTAACTACTGGACCCTCCTTTATAGAAAT